GAAATTCTGTGAAAATCGAATGCCAAGTACTGAAATGTCAGATGGCCAGGGTTGGTCTGGGAAGATGCCACAATGCTTGTTTGCTTTATGATCTATAGCAGTTCAGCCTGGCTTTTTAGGGGAAGTCTCCCCCATAGACAGTGTGGCATTGTGCTTTTACATGGCCCACATGGATTTAAGTGTACAGTAGTGATCTGCAGAACCCGAGAGGAGGACTTCAAGGAATCTATGGGGCCCAAGCTGAAAAAGATTTAAAAAGCCCTTTCTTCCCTGAAACTGGATGTGTGCCTTTTAAAGTGATCCCATGTATCTAGGGAAATGGTTCTTTTCTGGCATTTCTTGCTCTTTAATAAAACTGAGCAGGAATGGAGCTGAGAGTGCACAGCTGAGGGTCACAGTTGGGGAGCACCTGAGCTTGTGTTCCACGTCCTCAGCACTGACTTCTTTGTGTTCAAGAGCCACGCTGATGCCTCGACTTCCCCCATAGTATCTCAGACGTCTTTTTTTTTTTTTAAAAAGAAAATATCATCTTGGAAATATGTGGACTCCTCACGTTGAACATCATGTTTTCACAAAGGTAGAAGACATTTGGCCTTAAACTGTAATTTTTTTAAAAAAGAAAAAAGTTGTGGCAACAGTTTTACTTAGATCTTAAAGAATTTAAGTGGAATGGGATAATTAAGTTTAATAATCCACCTGCCTTTTCCTCTCAATGTGAAATGTTTATCAGGCTTTATGAATGAGAGATGCTAAGCTAGAACCCCGCAGGAAGCCCTTTTCCCTGGAGCTCACCTTCTGTTTGCCTTTCGAGGTGGATTCCTGAGGGAGCAATAGCCCTTTGAGACCCTCTGGACAGGATCAAAACCTGTCCTGGCCACTCCTGAGTTAATATTTGACACAATCCAATGCACGAGAAATACTTGATCCTTGAAAGAAGCCTGGAGGAAGAGATTTGTTAAAGGTTTAGTTCAAAGCACATTAACATTTCCAGCCTCGCCAGGTAAGGGAAAATAGAACCCGTTCAGCTGTTGTCTTAGTTTCCCTTGTACCTACACCGTGGCGTGGAGGTGAAGCCCAAGGGGCTCTTTGTGTGTTTGCCTCCTGTGCCGGGTAATACACCTTTATTGAACTAGCATGTCCTCAGAATGTTCAAGGCCAAGCTAAGTTTGTTCTTGGGAAATCAGGTTTCCCCAACCCTCACTGGGAGCTGCTGGCTTGAGGTGGCAGGTTCTCACGTGCTGCCGGTTTCTATTATAATGTCACTCAGGGTGGCTGTAAGAACATGGAGGAAACCTAGATTAAACTAGAGGCCAGCTGACATGTCGGCTCCATCATCTACATAGTTTGCTCCAGACTGTCAGTGAAGTCACAATGAAACAGATCCATTTACTAACTTAACCATGCAAATTCTGAAAATCAGGTTTCTGTTAGTTCTAGACTGTTCTCTGTGACATGGTACGTAAACTTGTCTCAGTGCCACTAGGGCAAGGGAGGCCTTCCGTGTGAACACGCGTGTGGTTGCCTGTGGTGGAGGAAGCCTTCCTGAATTCAGACAGCGTCCGAGTGCACTGCACATTTCCCACTGCATGGACAGAATGAAAGGTCTGACAAATGTGGCCTTTCTAAGATCTGCTCACAGGAAATTAGGTTGAAAGGGTTTCACTTCGGGTTCTGGAGCCCCAGCAAACAGAGTAGCTGTGTAGACTGTGGGTCCCGTTTCCCTCAGATACCTCATCAGCACTCACCACTCTCAGGAGAGTGGTCATGAGCATGGGTCGGGCATCCAGCAGCCTGTGTTCACCTGCATCATTCTGGACATGTTTATTAACCTACCTGATCCTTGGTTTCATCATCTTTGAAATGGAGATCATAACACCATCTCTCTCATGCTGTTGTCTGGATAAATATGTAGGGTTAGAACTGCTTACTTAGCACACAGCAAGTACCCAACAGGAAGTGCTGGCCCCGAACTCGAACGTGTCACTATTACGGCTCTTACAATATTGACTTGTAACAGTTTGTTTACAAGAAATAAATTGGGTCAAGTCAGGGATTGTTTCTTGGAATTTAAAGAATGTACCTCAAAGCTTGGCACCAGATAAACAGTTGATAAATATTTTGGGAATGAATCAGTCGGTGCATGAATGGAATATCTGATCATCTGTGGTCTCTTTTCCCCCTATTTTTTTTATTGTGGTAAAATACACACTGTAAAATTTACCGTCTTAACCATTGTAAGTGTACAATTCAGTGGCATTGAATACACTCACAATGTTGTGCAACCATCATCCCCACCCATCTCCATCGCTCTTTCATCTTGAAACACTGAAACTATGATCAATAAAAAAATACCTGGCAGATTAATGGAGATGAAATAAAGACATTCCCAGACAAATATCTGCTGTGTCTTTGAACCCACTCCACTGCGTCATATTACTGTGGCCTCTGCATCTTTTCTCTTCCATGGATGCCCTTCTGTTTCACGAACTGACTGCCTTCTCTAGGAGTCACATACTGACCTGAGGAACTCCCTTCCCAGGACCTCATACACACATCTTTTTTTTTTTTTTTAAATTTTAAATATGTCTATTAATTTCGAAGAGAGGAAGGGAGAGGGAAAGAGAGATAGAAACATCAATGATGAGAGAGAATCATTGACTGGCTGCCTCCTGGGGATNAGAAACATCAATGATGAGAGAGAATCATTGACTGGCTGCCTCCTGGGGATCAAGCCCGCATGTGCCCTGACCAGGAATTGAACCGTGACCTCCTGGTTCATAGGTCGATGCTCAACCACTGAGCCATGCCGGCCACACTCTTGGTTTGTTTTTTGTTTTTTTATATCCCACTTTTCTAGTTCTTGGGAGATACCATTGGTTTGCTGTAAGCTACTTTGTCAGCCAGAAATAATAGTTTTCATAAACAGTACTTTATTTTCTTTGTATTCAAACTGTTTTCTGGATAGTGTGTTGTGCAAAATTTGACTACCTGCCTCAGAATTAGAGTGTCATGGGCGGTTTTGTGGTTAGGCTATCCGGATCAGAGGAAGTGTCAGCCTTCTTGGGATTTTCATTTGCCTGACTACCCTGCCCTTTACCTCCTGTTTCCCATATATGTGCCTCATTTCTTCCATTTTGTAGTGTTATGTATGTATTTTAGTGTGAAGGCAATAGTTCAATCAAGCCTTTGAATGAATATTGTAATATAGATAGTAAAAAATTTATTAAGTTACTAATATTCAAATTTTATATTAAAAGAGGTGTACAATACTAGAAGGCACAGTGAAACCTAAGCTTTAAAAAGCTGTGTTTATAAGAATTGTTAAGAAAAATGTATGAAAAAAAGCTATTACAAATGTCATGGTAATGTCTCTTATTTTACCTTTATTTTGTTTTGACTAATAAGCATTGTTTAAATGTATCCTTTCTGGATGATTGTGGGGAAAATAAAATAGTATGTTAAAAACTACCTATATTATAGTTTATGAGTATAATCATTAACATAACTAGGCATACAACTTCTACTATTAGAACTTATAAGTGAATTATTAACAATTCACATTTATAAGTGAATTATTAACATCCATATACCCTGAACTGAGAATCAGATGCTAAATCCAAATTAGCAACAAGACTCCTAGATTCCCTTTTTCCTCTGTCTTCATTTTACTATTGTAATGAAGGACTTCTGGGGGCCACAGTATTTTTAATAATATATATGATGGGAAATCCTGCTTTATAGTCAAGGAGAGCGGGCCAATCTTTGACTCATTTTTTCATCTTATCCTCAGTGTTAGCCCCTCACAGACCTCCAAGTAGAGGGGAAATGACCCGGGGCCCTGCCACTGTGCTCTGGGACCCGGGGCTGCTTTTGCAGGGAGGGTGCAGGGTGGGCTCCCCAAGGGCGGCCTAAGCCAGCCAGGCCGGAGAGGAGCGGGCATGCCCTGGAGGGCCGGGAACCGCTCCGAGGGCTGACTGGTCCCCTCTCTCGTGGTCGAGCTGAGCCTTCCCGGACTGGATAGCAATCCAGGAGGACCCCGGACTGGATAGCAATCCAGGTGGATTGCACGGAGTCTCCTCTCTGCTCTACTCAGGGCCCAACTTGTACTGAGGCCCTCAGCTTCCCTGGCCCCTCCCCTGCCCTTCTCTGGCAGGAATTTCCCTTGCAGAATTTCTCCTTCAGGAATAAAATTTTTTCATGTTTAATCCTGTCTTGGAACCTCATCTGCTTCTCAGAGGACCTAGACTTACACATTCTCTATGATGTCTATAAAAAGATACTATCATGTGAAATGACTAAGAGAGACAGGGTGTTTACTATGATTTTAATGACAATGTGCTAATACTGTTAGGTACTTAAATTTAGGAAAGTCAAAACTTGATGTAGCCCAGCCGGGCATGGCTCAGTGGTTGAGCATCGACCTAGGATCCAGGCGATCAGTGTTCGATTCCTGGTCAGGGCACATGCCTGGGTTGCGGGCTGCAGCTGATCACTGACTCTCCCGACGTTGATGTTTCTATCCCTCTCTCTCCCTCTCCTTTCCTCTCTCTGAAATCAATAAAGATATATTTAAAACAAAAACAAAAACAAACAAAAAACAACTTGATGTAATTGAGAGCTGGCCACTCAGAATTTTTTTTTCATGGCAGTTTATGGTCTCTGTGTGTCAACTTGCTTTTGGCAGGACTAAATTATTACAATTCTAAAAAATGTTCTAAAAAGTGGTCGATTTACTCAGGATGACTAGATGGCTGTGGAGTATTAAGCAGTCCATAAGTCAGGTTTGAGATACCTGAGGTATCTTTAATTTAATAAATTAGAAGGGCATATATCTGAGGGTGGGCTGATAACTGATATTGTAGAAAAGCAGAATAATTCACTATAATAAGTATAACAGATGGTTTATTGTACATATTTGGTAACTCTTGCTTTCACTTTGTATGATTTCTACAAGAGTGCTTATATTTTGTGTGTCAGTGTTAAAATCCTTTTTGTTGCAGAATCTCAGTGAAAGGTTTGTTTTTATTACCGAGTGGTATGATCCAAATGCTTCACTTTTTCGACGGTATGAGCTTCTGTATTACCCAGGAGATGGGTCTGTGGAAATGGTGAGTGAGCTTTTCTTTACTTGGGAGTGGGCAGGGAGTGAGGTGGGGCAGGGAGAGGAATTCCAGTTTTTTTAAAAATGTCAAAAGTAGGAACTCATATTTTTTGGTTAGAGAACAGAAATGGGGTAATTCATGTTTTGGATTAAGTGATAGTCAATAGTGGCTCTAGGTAAAGCTGATCATGGTTACAAATGTTCAACCACTATTGAAAGCTGTTTATCTCTGCAAAAGGCCCGATTGAAGATGGAGCTAAGGTCCTGCTTATTTCTTGTGTCCCTTCCTTGGCAGCCCCTTTCACGGGTGACTCCATTTGGTATTGGGGCTTTGTGTAGGCAAGAAAGCAGACATTTGGAATTTTTCTGGGATTTCAGAGGTACTACTTGCTGAAATGATTTGGCAGTAAACAAATCCCTATAGTCAGGGTTTTCTTAAAGTATTAAATGTGTAAGAAGAATTTTTTATGTTATTACTTGAGTAGACTAGGAAATAGAGAAGTTATAAAAGAAATTTTGATTTGCATTTGTAGCAAAAACAAAACAGAATGTAGCCTATGTTTAATGCAGCAGAACTGAGAACTTTTTCTAGTTTACAGTGAGGTTGACCCTCCCTCCTGACCGTTGCTTGTTTCGTGGTGCTGTCACTCTGGGTTCTAGCATGATGTGAAGAATCACCGTACCTTTCTGAAGCGGACCAAATATGACAGCCTCCACCTGGAAGATCTTTTCATAGGCAACAAAGTGAACATCTTTTCTCGACAACTGGTGCTGGTTGATTACGGGGATCAGTACACAGCTCGCCAGTTGGGCAGCAGGAAAGAAAAGTAAGAAAACAATTACATAATTTTTTCTTTTTCATTCTGAAAACTTTATGTCTTGGTACCAAATTCTGGTTTTTTGTTTCTACCTTGTGTTTTACAAGGTAGATATTTTTCAGTGATCCAGTTTAGAATTTTGTGGACTGTATTCTGTGGTTTGCTTCCCTTGGCTGCCAGGGTGATGCCCATAGTCTCAGGCGGTGATTATTTTCTGGAGGAAAAGTACAAACATTTTATACACCCTCAGCAATCATGGTAACATGCATCTCACTGGAAGCTGAGATTTGAATAGAAAGTCTTGGTGTGTAGGATAAACATGGCTTATGGGGGAAAGTAATAGCTCAGCTCTAGACGTTCATTGGTAAGATCAGTGCATTACATTTACATATGTTGTGTTGTTGGTATTTTTGTACATATTCCTACCATTTTACTGATTTTCTGTGTTTTCCTCTTTCTTTCGTTGGTTAGCTGCGGTACAGGTGTGTGTCCATCAGGTGAAATCTGTGATTTATTGCTCACATCTTTCACACAGTCACTGGTTTTTTTTCCAGCTTATTCTGTCAATGACCAAAATCTTGTTAAAATGTCCCATTATACTTGTCATTTGTAGTTATGTTCATTTTTTGTTATAATTTTGAGGGTATGTCACTAGGTTTTAAAATTGTTGATTCTTCTTGGGAGATTGAGCCTTTTGCTATAGAGGAGACCACCCTCCTCCAGTGGCGGGCTTGGCCTCGGGGTCTGCCTGGGGGTGCAGTGGCGGCCCTGCTGTCCTTGGATGATGTGGGCCCGGTGGCCTGCCTTCATCCCTCACTCCCAAACCCTGGCCTGTTCTACACACGCCCTTTTCAAATAACAGTTATTTTTTAAATCCAGTCTGGTATTCTTTGCCCTTGAATAACAAATTTTTTTTTTTTTTTTTTTTTAAGAAATCCAGTAATCCAGTTTATAGTCCATCTTTTATTGCATAGCACTTAGTTTTAATGTAACTCCTCATATACTTGGGTTTGCTGCTGCCATCTGATCCTGTGCCTTTTCTCCTGCCTGCTCTGGGTTTTGTTATTTTTTTGTTCCTTTTCTGACTTGTTTTAGATTGGTCGAGGGTGCTTCAATGTATTCTTTTCTCTCCTCATTTGAAAGGTGCACACTCTTTTTCAACACTGCTGATGCTTGAGTGTTGAACTAGAAACTGCAGCATGAGCATTGAACTTCAGAGCCTAACATCAGCCAATATCATTACCCCCTTCTTGAAAACAAGACCCTCAGGACACTGTGGCTCAGTTTCCTCCTGCCTTGCTGAATTATATGCCAGTTCTTTTTAGTATTTTTTGTGAACCTAGCAAATTATTACTGTTTTATATTATCAATATTCAATTAGAGTTCGTACTTTTGCTTTTATTATTATTTTTATCTCAAGCTTTCTGCTTGGTATTATTTCAGTTTGCTCAAGTTAGAGTTTTTTAGAATTCCCTTTGCAGTGTGCCCAGCAGACCTGTGGCAGACTCTCTGTCCTCACCCCTAATGTCCCTGAAACAAGCCCCTTCTCTGTGGCAACCTTTCTGTTTCTCTTTGCTTCATTCTGAATCTGTTCAAAGTTCTTCCTGCCGTTGCATCTAGGCTTCTGTGAAACCACTGGTCTAGTTCTTATTTTCATTCCAGTACTTTTGTCGCTAGATATTTCCAGCAGTTCCTTTTCACGTCTCCGTGTTTATTACTCACAGCTGTAGTTCTCTGTTGCCTGCTGAACTTCTGCAGCTTGTCTCTCAGCCTTTACCCATCGCTGGCTCAATGGTTTCCAGTCCAAATGGGACAGTGCCTGCATCCCAGGTGTTTGCGGGCCTCTGGGTCCTGTGCTGTTTCCTCTACTTCCCCCTCACGTTGGCCTTTTTCCCCTTTGCATGTGTGTGTGCTTGTGTGTGCGTGCATGTCTGTGGTTACTTTTGTGTGGTGATGATCGCCAGGTGTGTGTATGTATATGCATACATGTGCAGGATAGATGTGTGTTGTGTGTTGTTATGTGAAGTAGTTGAGGTACAGGACGAAGTGAATTTCCTCCTGGAGAAACTGTTCGCTCTGTTGCCTGGAGGCACCGTAGCATCTGGACAACTGAAGTTCACAGGTGGCAGTTCCCAGACCACCTAGGTGATGGGAACTCTGCTCCCAGACCATACCAGCCTGGTTCTTGCTGGTTCACCCTTAGGGTGTAGCTGTTGGTCCCAAATTATTGCAGGGGCATCCTCTGCGGGGCCTGTTCCCCTCTCCCGGGGATGTGGGACAGTTTAAAGTTCAGACCTGCCCGGCAGGCTGTGCTGGCGAGCCAGCGCCGCTTTCATCCCCATCTTCTGGTTCCCCATTTTTCTTTCATTTCATACCCATTATTGTTTAATATCTAGTCAATTTATCTTTGCTTTAAAAAAATATGTTGTCCTTTGTTTTTAGTTTTCCGTGCAAGGAGTGTCCTGAGTAACTTTGCCATTGTCGAGAGTGGAAAGCTCTGGCCCCCACTTTCCTCCGACCACAGGTGCCTCATTATGAGACCCCTTCACCGAGGGGCAGGCACACATGCCACGCTCGCAGAGAAAACAACAGCGTACACTGGGCCTGGGGTTGAAGCTTTAGGATGGGTTTCTTCATGCCGAGGGGCAGTGTGAATACCTTTGGAGATATTTACATAAACTAATGTGGGTTACAGTTGCCACTGGCATTCCTGTAGGGGCGCGGCACTGCATCGTCTAGGACGTGGGTTGCATGGCGTGTTGGTTAGTCTTCACCGCATCCACATTTGCTGCAGTTTCCAATCCGAGCCTGAAGGTGTGTGAGGACCACGTTCTCTGCAGGCTCTGTGAAAATCGGTATTTCCCGGAAGCCCGAATGTGAAGACTGGCCAGACTTTTCCACCCTCTGCTGCTAAGAAGTGTTAATGTTACAGGATGATTTTCGTGCTTTTTGGTTTTCTTCTGAGAGTAGCTCATACTGTGTCCTGCAGAGTGTGGCTCAGCGTAGGTGGGAGGAAGGTATTACAGTGGTGGCCCCAGCGAGCCATCCTTCCTGGCAGCCTCGTCCTTGCCTTGTCCCTCTCACATTGACTCTGGGCTTCACCATGTGACCAGCATTGGCTAAATGGACAGCATCACACATGCCTCAAGGGGATGTTTGATAAAGGTGCACCAGACACGCCCGTCTGTGCAGGAAGAAGCCTGGTCTGGCCTGCCAAAGGACGGAGGGCCACCAGAAAAGAGAAGCCTCGTCCCCAAGGCCCTAGCCAAATGAGCTGCGTGAGTGACCGCAGGCGCACCACTGCCAGCCAGCCTGCCTGCAGAATCCTGAGCAAGTGTTTAGCCCCTGCATTCAGGGCGGCTTGATCTGCAGCAACAGAATCAGGCGCTGTGCACATTTGTGCACTTGGGTTTCTTCATGTGCTCTCCTCACTCTTAAGTAATGTGCAATTTCTGAGGCCTGTCTTATTTTCCCTCCAAAGTTCGTTTTAATCATATCTATGGACAGCTAAGCGGCAAAGACGAGGCGGAGGTATTTAGGGTAATTAACCACAGTGAGCCACCCTTAGTCTCTTGTAGGCATTTAAGGAGAACATAAAACTGCATCTTAAACCAAGTCCTGTCCTTTCGTGTTTTTCACGCTGTCTCTCGTTGGCAGAAGTCGATGAGTATGGACGTGTCTGTTTTAAGAGCTATGGTCCACAAAGGTTCTTGCAGAGTTTGGCATAAACAGTTTATGGGTTTGGCTTGTGATATTTGAGTAATGTGAGCTAAAAAGGGACCTGTTTTAATTGTGTCTTCCATGAAGCCATAGGATATGAAATACTGTAGTTGACTCACCTGCTTCAAACAAAGAAAAAGAGAGTCTGGTACAGCTTGTAACGAACAGCCCAAGATGAATAATTTTTGTTTTTTTAAAAGTTTTAAAAGCCAGCCCTAAGTTATATCTAGTTGTCGGTGAGGCTGTTTGAATTATGAGAGCCTCAGCTAAGTGCATCTCCTTGGTGGAAAAGCCAACTGTGAAAACCCAGCAATCTCCATTTATGGATTCCATGAGTTAATGTCACTGTCAGAAAACTGGAAATAAAGGGGGAGAGGCAGCCGTCTGAACCACAATCTGTGTCATATAAACTGAGTCACTCTAGCTGACCTGGTTTTCTTTTGCACTTGCAAATAGTGGCCTTTAGGACCTTGTGATTTTGTTCCTTTCATAATTTAGTTGTGACGGTATCTGTGGTGTGGAAGAGGCGCAGATTTGGGAGTGTCGCCAGCTGGGTGTGTTGTTCTGAAGGTGCCACTGACTGGCCTTGAGATCTTAGGCACATTTACTGTCTGAGCCTAGTTTCCTCATTAGTAAAGTGAGGGCGCAAGCGATCTCCATTGCCAGCAATGGATGACTTCTGTGGCTTGGTGGGCCAGTGGACTGCTCTGTGTACCTTGGAGGAGGGTGTGATTTTAAAAGTTAGTGGCTTCTGCTGGCCACTTTCTTCATCAGGAATGAAGGTGTTTGGCTCTTTGTGCATCACTCATACTATGAATATGAATGAGTGATATGAAAGTATTAATAGAAGAATTTGTATTTATTTCCAAATCAGTGCTATGCTGAACTGACTGCATAGCATACGTACGTTAAAGCCAACAAATCATGCTGATAATGTATTTGATACAACTTTTTAGAAATTTCTTCTCTTTTATAAACTGTATCCTAAGAAATAGAAATTTTAAAACCTGTTTTCTAATTTTGGCGTATTAAAATGACAATTTTAACGTATTTTCCCCTAAGCTATTATTATTATCGTTAGATTGGGTACCTTATTTTGATTTTCTTGGGAAAAAATAGTTAATTAACTTAGTTTGCAGAAGTTTTTAAGAGACCTTCAGTGCACTTCTCTTTATAATGGATTGTGATGCTTGATTAGGGAGACGATCATTGCTTGGTAATTAAAAGTAAAAACTGAGTTATTTTAATTTTCAAACTTATTCTTTCTTTCTTTACAGAACGTTAGCTCTGATTAAACCAGATGCCATTTCAAAAGCTGGAGAAATCATTGAAATAATAAACAAAGCTGGATTTACCATCACCAAACTCAAAATGATGATGCTTTCAAGGTAATTTGTTGATAATTATCAGTTATGCAGTGTCTGGTTCCCTTTTGTAAAAAAAAATCATCTTGTATCATTCATGTCATTGTTTAAAATTTAAAAATCTTCCACTGACTGGGGAGAAAAAAAGGTAATCTAATTAGAATGAGAAGATGTAAGGCAGCTGGGAAGCAGTAGTTGCCAGACCATATGTGCCTCATTACCTGTGAGTTGTCTCTCGTTGCCCCACTACTTTCATAACCCCACTGTGGCCATGGTAATCTCTCACTACATCAGTAGAACACTATATAAAAATGGAAGGCGAAGAAATGAGTGTTGCATTATTTCCATTTGACATGGGAGTGTTATTGTTGAGATTTTCAAAAGTGATGCATTTGGAAATGTATTTAGCTTCTCCCAACATATATAAAATTGGGAAATATACCTGTTTACTACTCTGAAAAGCAATCCATTCTGTCTCAGCAGGTGTTTTCTAAGATACTTAGTGAAAATAAGAGTGGCCTATAGCAGGGGCATTATTGTGGCAGGTAGGCGGGGCTGCTCCAGCGTGTTCCTCTGTTACTCCCCCAGTTTTTCCTGTGTTTAGGGTCGGATGTCTTCTCACTGCTGTTCCAGATGTCTAGTCCATGGCACGGTTGCTTTTCTGTCTCTGAGCACAGGTGCATGGGTAGCAGTAGACACTCAGCTTCACTTTGATCAGTTCATTCCCTAGAAACCATAACAAAACACCCTCAGTTCCCAGCAATGACATACGTTTAATTGGATTACTTCCCTACATGACATCTCCTAGTTTTATATTTTCTAGAAAGGCAGGAGGCTTATAATTCAGAGCACAGAGTGTAGAGCTAGTTTGCTTATAACTGCCCCTATCTAGGTGTATGACTGACTGACCAGTTTATGTTTGTGCTTCAGTTTCTTCATCTGTGAAATGTTGGGTATCATAGCACTGGTGTCAGAAAGTTGTTTTGGGGCTGACATGAGTTTAATAAATGTCAGGTGCTTTGAGACGCCCTGGCTCGTAGTAAGTGCATCTCAGTGTTAGCCGTTAGTAGTAGTAGTAGCGGTAGTACTAGTGATATCATTATTATTTAGTGGAAACCAAAGTCATGACCCTTTATAAGTAGTTAAATTTGTCCCATTTCTGTACATATTGAGAATGCTTGCTCTTATAACAGGCAATGGGACTGAATTCTGGAGATAAAACTTTCAATAGTTTCAGTGAGATGAAACATTTTTATGTCTCTACACTTCCAGTGTCCTATACTTTGGCATCAAACTTCCCATGTTAGAGATACACAAGACAACTTCATCTTTAATTGTCTCTACCATCTCATGCATTTCTATTAATAGTACTGTCAAGTCTTGTCTTTTACCTAACTTAAAAGCTAGTCTGTTACTCTTTCATGGGTGCTAGCAGAAGACAGGAGACTTCTGGGTCAAAGACGGAGGACTTTATTGTGGTACAGCAAACGGCACGAGCCTCATGTTTGTGTTGGTTTCCTGCTTGCCTCCTCTGTGGCCATGGAAATAATATAACATGGGCCCCGGTGGGTGCTGTATACACCATTGATTGCATCACAGCTGCAGAGCATTGAACTTGGCTTACCACTTTTTCACTAGCAAGCAGCAAACAAGCCTGCTCTTTGTACTGAAGAGAGACATGACCTCATCCCTCACAGATAATCACCCTAAACATGGCTCTGAGAAGTGATGGGATAAAGAGCAGCCAGGGCCTCGAAGTCTTGGCATATCCAGTGAGACACGTTAGGGGCATCAGAGACCCAGGAAGTATCTCCCGAGACTTCAGTCTTCTCTAAACTTATTTGTGCCAATTCAGTTCCTCCATTAGCATAGTATCCTAAAGGCAGCAGCTGAGTTTCATCTGACTTTGTATTTCTAGTTCTTGGATCAATTCTTTAGTCAAGGTAGGCACTAAGCAAATATTTCATGAAAGAATCAATGGTTAGATCTCTGTGAAAGAATGGTGCGTTTCTTTATAAAAATACAACAGAACTTCTTTAGGTGGCTTCTTTATAAATGCACCTGTTAGTATCTCTTTCCGTCTAAACTTTTTAAGGAGGACTTAGATAAGAGTGATGGGAAAAAGTTCATCAACTCTCATCTTGGTTCAAATTTTAGATTTTGAATGGAGATAACTGCGGGGCCAGCGACATGTTAGAAGAAAATAATGACACCGTTTTCTTAGTTTATTAAGATTTTTCTTTTCATTGATATTAAAGATTATGATTGTTTTTCCTCTTTTAGTAGTTCAGTTGTGTTGAAAAATAGAATTGGTCATTTTGTAGTCTTGCTGCAGACTCTTTAAAGCACCCCCCACATAAGGTTTTCTGGCATGCAGTTTTAACTCATTTTTGTGAATTTTTCCCCTTACCCTCTAGAATTTTTTTTTTAATTGCTTTCAGAGAGATGAAGGGAGAGGGAGAGAGCGATAGAAACATCAATGATGAGAGAGCATTGATCAGCTGCCTCCTGCACGCGTTCTGCTGGGGATCAAGCTCACAACCTGGGTATGTGCCCTGACCGGGAATCGAACCATGACTTTCTGGTTCATAGATCGATGCTCAACCACTGAGCCATGAGAATTTGTTTTTTTAAGTTGGTAATAGGGCATAAGCAAAAAATGGAAAGGAGGAGGCATTTGAGCCAAATATTTGGTTAAAAAATAATTCACATTCAGATCAAACCAATAGAGAATTTCATTTTTATTTTATTAATGTAAGCTAAAATTTCTTATGTAATTGTTAACTATTGTCATTTTGATTATTTTATAGGAAAGAAGCAACAGATTTTCATATAGACCATCAGGCAAAGCCCTTTTTAAAGTAGGTGCTGAGTTTGGGGCTAATGGTATACAACAGAGAATACCCTGGAAAACGAGAGAATGATAATTTACAGTTAAAAGTTCTGTTACATGAAAATAATCTATTGAAAGGACCCCAGCAACCTCTTGCAACTGTAGAGAAGTATTTTCTAAGAATTTGTTTTTCTATTCTTTTATTAGATAAGAATTCTTATCATTAAATATCTTAAACTTTAATTGGAAGCAAATAGGATGATTTGTTTAAATTATAAGGAACATCTCTTTCCTTTTAGATTTCAGTAGATTTAACATGGGGTGATAATTACATTTCATGTTGAATATTTATTTTTGCTGTGCTTTTAAACTCTTATTTTGTCATTCTTGTGTATATAAATCAATGTTCTTAGAACCCTTATATTTTAAATAATTTGATATACATTTTGTTCCTTGAAATATAGCAACAAATATATGTTAGAAACTGAATCTATGTTCTAAATATTTTGCTTGTTTTTATTTATTTATTTTTTAATTTATTTTTTTGTTAATCCTAAGCCAAGGATATTTTTTCCATTTTTTTTTTTTTTTTAGAAAGAGGTCCGGGAAGGGAGGTGGGGGGGTGTGGCAGAGAGAAAGAGAAAAACATCAATGTGAAACATTGATTGGTTGCCTCCCACACATGCCCCAACTTGGGCCGAGGATCAAACCTGCAACCCAGCTACGTGCCCTTGACTGGAATCGAACCCGAGACCCTTCGGTGCTTGGGCAGATGCTCTAACCACGGAGCCACACTGGCCAGAGCGTGGGTTGTTTTTTAGTTTAGCTAAACATTGTGCATCTCGTATTACTGTTGACAGAGGACTGCTTACATTTCTAATAAAGAAGGCTGTTGGCCAAGCTCCCGGGCTGGACATGCCATTTGGTACCCTGCACAGAATAGTGGTTAAAAAAAAGAGCTTGATGTAAGAAACTTATTATGTTATAGATTGTTTTAAATCAAGCATTATAGAGTGTTCCCAAACCTTGTTAGTATAGGCACATATAATTGTCTTGGAAGTTACTCTTTATTATATAGCCTTTGTGTAGGTTTATAGCATTATATTGCAGCTCCTGATTTAATGTCTAACATGTAATTAGTATGTGGTAAATTTTATCAAATGGATGGATTAACTAGATTTCATATTGTATTGAGAAAGACATAACAAAAGACATAGCAGCAGTAATGGCAGGCGGTTTCACAAAGCACTTCTGTTACGATCAGGCACGCCCTTCCTTGCGTCATTACGTGCCACTCATACTGTGGTCTCTTCCGCGCTATGCTCTAAGAATTCTATGTTAGTAGGACATTAGGATATAGATTTTTGAGGGAGCTTCTTCTATAGCCTATTCTGATTTGTAGGTGATCATTAAATGCTGATTGAATGAATACATATGCATTTCTTCCCCTGACTTGGATTCCTTAAGTCTAATTTTTTTGGCACCTAAGGCCTAGAGAATATGTATGAGGAGGTCACATGGGCCTTTTAGGATGCAGGGTATGAATACTTTTACATACATGCTATTTCTTAGAAATATTCTTCAACATGAAATGATTTAGAAAGGGATTACTGAGGGGTGTGGCTCATGGAGCATGGTTCACCAGGGCAGGAAGTGTGTGCAGCAGTCAAGAGTTAAAAGGCCCAGAAGGGCTGTCGCACCTTGTCCTCTCTCCAGGAGAGTCCCCAGCTCTCTCTTAGTTAAATGGGAGAGAAATCTGGGCTTGCTTTAAAAAGTAGACTGTCCCTGCCTAGCACAGGAGGAGGAATGGTGTCACTTATTTCACAGTTAAGCTTGTCATTGCTGCCTTACACACATGTAGAAGTGAAAACATGAGGTTTTGTTTTTCATTCCTTGGGGTACTGTCTGACTCAGTGCTGGATTTTTAATCAAGGACCTATGTGCAGGCTTTAATAATTTAGGATAGAAGTAAGTCACTGTAGTTTTTATGCTAATAAAAGGATATTTCTTGAAGGCCTATTTTTTTTTAAATAACTAGACAACTTAATACTTATTGATTGAAAGTTGATTGTCATTCTTTGAATTCTAATAGTTTTACACAAAATAAATACATACTGCAGATATGTTACAAGATATTACTCTCATCACTTTCTCTGTTGTGACATTTTATGACTACAGTGATAAAGCACATGAAAATAATAAGATTCCTGTACCCTTCAGAGCAACAGGAAAAGCATAGATCAACAGTATGTATTTAAGTCAGTGAAATAGTCTTAATCCAATGAAATTGATTTTTCTGCTTAGAGTAATTGCTTTAAAAAAAAAAAAAAAAAAAATATATATATATATATATATATATATATATATAACTATTGATTTCAGAGAGGAAGGGAGAGGGAGAGAGAGAAAAACATCAATGATTGAGAGAGTCATCACTGATCCGCTGCCTCCTGCAGGCCCCCTACTAGGGACCGAGCCCGCAACCCGGGCCTGTGCCCTGACCGGGAATCAAAGCTCGATCTCCTGGATCCTAGGTCGATGCTCAGCTGCTGAGCCATGCCGGCCGGGCCAGGGTAATTGCTTTGATAACACTAGCAAATTGTAGTGATTTAGGCCACTGCGAGACACTCAATTTATGAAAAATGTACCTTATCCATGTAAAACTCACTGTACCCAGTAGTTCTGAGATCATATCTGTGTGTGTGTGGAAATACTGAAATTGTAATATATTCTTGTTGTAAAGAGAGAGACCTCGGTTGACAGGACAATGAAGCAAGTCCATCTTTTACCTGTTTCCCAGTGAGCTCATCCAGTTTATTACAAGTGGTCCCATTATTGCCATGGAGATTTTAAGAGATGATGCTATATGTGAATGGAAGAGACTTCTCGGACCTGCCAACTCCGGGGTGGCACGTGCAGATGCGCCCGGAAGCATTCGAGCCCTCTTTGGAACCGATGGCATAAGAAATGCAGCTCACGGCCCCGACTCGTTTGCTTGTGCTGCCCGAGTAAGGAGCTTAAAAATACTTTAACTTAGTTTTGGTTTTGTGAAATGTCTGATATCAAAGTGTAGCATCTCTATCACTGCTGACTGAGGGTAGTTTATGCAGCTGACCTTGTGGTAGAAAAAACCTTTGACCTTTTGTCTAGGATTAAACAGCATTTCAGTGATATGTCTCCCTTGTGAGCTGGCGATCTGGTCACAGCCATGATAAGTTTTCTCCATTTAAAATACTTGTCCCATTTCTTATTCCAAAGACTGAAATTACTGAGGCTCATCAATGTTTAAATTACTGAATTTATGTTAGAATACCAGCTTAAGGACAGTGAATATTCTAAAAGAAGGCATCGTTGGCTGGATTCCCTCCTTGGTTCCTAGCACTCCATTTTCAAGCTTACCATCTTTCTCTTTTCCTATGTATATCTAGTGTTTATGAAAAAGCTTTCCTACAATTGTTCCTTGTTTTATTTTTATTTTTTTAAAATACATCTTTATTGATTTCAGAGAGAGGAAAGGAGAGGGAGAGAGAGAGAGAGAAACATCAATGATGAGTCATTGATCGAGCCCGCAACCCGGGCATGTGCCCTGACTGGGAATTGAACCCTGATCGCCTGGATCCCAGGTTGACGCCCAACCACTGAGCCACGCCCAGCCGGGCTTTTTGTTCCTTATTTTAAATTCGCACAAGTAAGGTATTTTACTGGGTTTACATTGATGTTGAATTAATGAAGTGCAAGTTTTTCTTGGCATTGTGAGAAGTTTCTCAGCTCATTTAAGATGGTTTTTAGTCTGGTATGTTTGCAATGAAATAATATTAGACAGGTTTATAATAGTTGATTTTTTTTTCTTACAACTCTATTAATAAATTCCTTCAGCTTGCCTTTCACATTAGACCTTGAATCTGATCACTGTGGTCTGAGTCACTTATATTTTGTCTGGACTACTGCAAAAGCTCCTGGTTCTTTTCATTTCTCCTCTTACACTCACTTTATGAAAATTTTATCTTGTCAAGTGAAATTACCTATGCCCAGAGTGACCTTTATAAAACAAATTGTATTCACAATTCAACTACTGAAAACCCTTCGGTGAATTGTTGTCT